AACATGGCGACAAACAAAGCAGTGTTAAGATAGTACCATCAGCGGCAGAGACATGAAATCAACTGACTACGTAGTTTGTGTCTGGGCAACAGTGGTTGGCCTTGAACGGGCATCACGTGACAGCCTGCGCGGTTGATATGCGCAAACGGTTCTTACTTTCAAAATGACTTTCGTATTCTGAACAGGTAGCATATAAAATGAAATTTGAGAAGGGTAAAAGTTGAAGAATATATGTATAATAAATTTAAAAATCTTGTGATGTGTATGCTCCTTTGATGGGTTTTATTTAGCTAGGGCGATCATTATCATAACGCCGTAATACGAAATTCAAATATACCTTGTTACGTGGTTAATACGGATCTCGCTTACAACTCCGAATATTTATTTCTGATCCCGGAAAATCAATTAGCATTTCGTCAATTGATAATTTTGCGACCAAATAGCAATGTTAAAATGGTCACTGAAAACTTTTCAGTCAGTGACATTAATTTTTTTTCGGATTAAGTTATTAAAACAATCAAATTTTGCTGAAACATGTTTGCAAAATGCTACAGACTATTAAGTGAAGTTTCATTGACTCACAGCACGAATTAACTTTTTATAACCAAAAAGGGAAATAATTCCATTAAAAGATTCCATATTGATTATTAAGGCTGCTTGTGCATGTTTTAAGGATTTAAATTCGACGTGAAAATAAAATGTAAAGACACAAATACATTTAAATATTGGAGAATATTATATAATGGCGTCTGTTTTACCTGTACTCTGTGAATAATGTGTAACATTCCTACTTGAGTCCCCTTTACTTCCTCGCTACGTAGAGAGAAAGTTATGTAATGCTGCGTGAAAAACAGCAGAAAACTTATTGCAGAGCTCAGGTAAGGAGACGTGGATACATCCAGTTGCTAAATTTAGAAAGAAATTCACTAACGTGGTGTGGCGATAATCCATGTTCTGTGGGTCCCTGATACCTATAAATTGAATGACGGCAAACTGTCTGTCTCTCTGCCCGTCCGACCGCCTGTCCGTCCGTCCGTCCGCCCGCCCGTCCGTCCGTCCATCTGCAGACAATGTTAGCAGCCCACCGTTCAGCCAGTTATCTCCAAAATTGATAGTCCCCAATCGATCTGGCTGATGTTAGGGTCTCTTGAATTTGAAATCGATATTTTAATATTGGGATAATTCTACTTGAGTCCCCTGGGACATTTTCAAAATTTTCAAAAAGCTCTATGGTTTATTATTATTTTTTTATTGGATAGTCCGAAGGACATTTAAGAGAGCAGATATTCGTTCAATACCCTAATTTTCCCAAAGTTCAAAATTTTCGGATTTTTCCTACAACTAAAATATTCAAGATAGAGATTTTTCCCTTAATTAAATCTGTTGCATAAAGACAGATTTTGAAGTAAGGTAATTTTTCGAAAATTTGAGTACTTTTCGCAAAATTGTGCGTGAAAATACGGGCGAGAGATTACGTATTGTTTTAGTACCACTAGTTTTCAAATCATCTATACGGACCCATTTCAAAAATATTCTAAATATGCTGCAAACCAGCAAAATGTCTAAATATTCTCTGTACGGAGGGAATTATTATCTACAATCACTAGACTCATTAAAATAGAACTCTACAACATGTTACGCTCTGAAAAATGATTGATATTTTTAATACTGAATTGTTTCCCTCTATAGAAAATGTGGACTACAAGTGTCATTTTCCACAAGTATAATTTTCTTTGAAGTAAAGTTCTAATGACCTCAAGTCCCTATGGTGATGATCATGATCATGATCGTGATGAGGTGGAACTTTATTGCTAAGTAGGAAACTTAGGTCTTATCGGAGAAGGAATCATAGTATTGGTTTGCAATTCCTTTCCACGGTGCAGATGATGGTAGAGGTGATTATGAGATGTAAAAGTGCTGTGGATGGTGATTAAAGATGGAGTGGTATTATTTACATGTTGGCATAAAGTCGAACACGCCCCAACCATAAGATGAATAAACGTGTGCCTTACGGGACTCGAACCTATAATCGTCCGCTCCGCGTTTACGGACTCGCTGCTTCCAGCCTCTGCGCTAGCGAGGCCGCCCCCTAGGAAGGACCGAGAAAGTAGGTAAAACCGTCGCCAATCATTCGGACGAGGGCTTGAAGCGGCAGCTCTCCATTTTCTAAAGGTTGAGAGCGAATCGTTGCGCTTTTCTCGTGTCGACCCTTGTAAAAGCAGTCACATTTCCCAAACTGCGCGAGTGTTAAAGGTCCGAAATGAATATTTCGACCTCCGCGTGGTCGTAGCTCTGTTGGAATCTTTTGTGGTCATGGTGATGGGCGTATGGTGGATCAATGCACCGTTCATAACACAAGAATGGGGGTGGGGGCAGAATGGAGAAGAAATGATGGCGCGAAGCGAGTGCCGCTGTGTTAATACCTAAAGTAATGCTCTGGGGTCCGCCCAAAAAAGGGCGAAGAAAATTGGAGGCGCCAACCAGCTCAGCAATTTGCATTCGCTCATTGTGGCTCTGTCCGTCCCAAGTACATAGCTGGTCTTCAAAACCCGCTTTTGCCGTAACTCAAACTCAAGACCCCTCCTCCCCTCCTCACAAACTCACACACATACACACACACGCACGCGCGCGCGCGTTGATGACGAAGGTTTTGTTGGCGTCTGGGAACGGCATACGCGATCGCACGCGCAAGAGCTCCGAGTGGAGAGTTGAATCTCGCTCCGACTTCTGAGTGAGGCGCTGCACTGGAACAGCTGAGCCCCGCTGCGTTCATTGGCCGGGCGGCGCTGGACGCGCGGGTGCGGGGTACAGCGGCGGCCGGCTGGCGCGCGAGACCTTGCCCAGACACGTCAAGGCCGCGCTCGCTTCCGACCTTGCCGCCCTCCGCGCCCCGCCCGCCGACGATCCCGCCCGCCCTCGGCACTCCACTGCCGCCACCACTGTGCTGCGCGATTCGCGCCCCTCCCCGCCCCCCGCCACCCCCGGAGCGGTCTTTCCAATCCTCAGCCCTCCTAATGCCCTCCTCTTGAATCCGCGCCACCGCCAGACCCCCGATCTTCCCGACACACCGCGGCCATGCCCCGTCGGCCCCAATCTGGATTCCGACACCCCTGCGTCCGCCCCTCAGATCCCCACATTCTCGCCGCCTGTAAAATCCCCGTCATCCATGCGGCGCCGACATGCCCAATCCCGCGCCACGGCCTGCAGCCCTAATCTCCATATTCCTCCGGCCTCCAAAGACCCCCGCCACCGCCATATCCTCGACAGCCCATTGCCAACCCCGACGCTCCCAATCCTCGCCCCCAATCTCTGCCACCCCTAACGCCCATATCCCCGCCACACGCGACGCTCCCAATTCCCGCCACTCCTACCGCCTCTAAACCTCGCCGCCTCAAACTCCGCCACCGCGACTCCCCCAATCCCTAAGGCCTCCGCCGACCCCAGCATCCCTACCACATCAGACAAACTTTTGCGGCCACTGATGTCCATGCCGCCCTTACCAGGCCCTAACATGCCCCTAAACGATCCAATGCGCACCTGCCCTGACATGCCGATCCGATTAGAGCAGTCGGCCGCTAGAATTCTTCTCAAGACGGCGGCTGAATTCGACTTATATTATCTTAAGTATTTAGCAAGTAAGATATCTATCCCCCGTCTGGAATCGAACCCTACGACCTACCCATCTAAGACGCTGAATAATAATAGCTCCGAGCCATCTCGGGTTGGTTTGTAAATTCTCACTATTTATTCAAAACAATTGCCAACTATTGATCTGAAGTTTTAAAAAAAGCGTTTTAAAATTCGGTATATTTCTAGAACAAATTTGTGGATGGAGGGGAGTTCAAAATGTAATTGGCCGCCTTCTGAAATACTTGCAGCATCCGCCCGTTTCACACTTTTTTTTTCATTTTTCTAGCGCGATTTACTTATTCAACATACTAGTAGGTCGACAATATTGTCCGAAATTCGTCGTTTACCTGCATCGTTAAGTTGAGAAAATATGCAGTGAATAGTTGTCCTCGTCATGTGTTAGTCATATTATTGAGAAAAAAATATATCTAAACTAGAGGTACTACAACAGCACGTACTTTCTCGCGATATTGCTCATAGATATGTAATATTATGATGTGATTATTTTTCTCATACACTTCGATTACCATTTGAAAAACTCTTAAACAAACGATGCGTGAAAAATTTTTGTTTTCAAAAATTCAAACGTTTAAACCAAAACAACTTTCTGCCATTGAATTTAGTGTATCCTCGTTGTACATAAATATCCCAACGATATGCGATGCGTATTTTTGCAGTAAATAAAATTATTAGTTTATAATAATGCGATCGAACTGCGGCCGTCATTATCGCCTTCTGTTATACGTAAGGTGTTACAACACGCAACAATGACCGCTAATTCGTATTGGATACAACACTTTGAAGATTAGCATTGTTGATACCACTGGCAAGAAGATGAAGTTGTATACAAAAATATCATAATGAATATGAATGAAGTATAATCTTGGTATATTTATCAAAAATACTGGGTTTTTAAGCACATTACCTCTTATCAGCTTTTAGCTGAAAAACGTCGATTTCTAACGTGTGTCACTTTTCTATTGGAGGTGCGATATGCTTTTCGGCGTTGTTTACATCAATTGCCACAAAACTATTTTAGTGACGATATGTAAATGTCAATATAACAATGTAAATCTCTCGTGAAAACTGTCCGTAACTGCGGGCACTGAGCTGATACTTTGAGGCTTCAACAGCTGGCGGTCGGCTAATCTGGCTGGCAGAAGAATCCTATACCTATATATATCCTATATATATATATATATATATATATATATATATATATATATATATATATATATATATATATATATATAAAATGTAGCATTTATACCATCTCTCATGTAGATGTTTACTAACACTTAGTTGATGCCGTTTCTGTACGCAAAATACAAAAAAAAAATGATTTCAATTTTTCCTTGTTCTTTTTCCAGTATGCATCGCCCAAAGGTACATATTAGCCATTATGGGCTTCCTGGCAGTGGCTAATGCATACACCATGAGGGTGGTTCTCTCCGTTGCCATCACAGAAATGGTGGCGAAGAATGTCACTTGCTTGCAAGATGATGAAGATCCTCCACCAGGAACATGTAAAGCCACTAGCTGCGATGAATCTTCGGTAAGAGCAAAGCTTCTGAAATCTTCCCTTCGTCTTTTGAAGATACAAGCTAGCGGTGCTACATTTTTTTCTCTATAGTTGGTACCGGTTTCGTCACATTATTTCAATTTCTGGTCTACTGACACTTGAGTCATCTCTTAAAAAACTCCTAACCGAGTAAGTACGAGTGGTTCGAACCTACTCTGCAGCCAGGAACTGTGGCCTCTATTGAACGAGGGTGATTAGATCACAATTATTGTAATGGTATTCGCAACACGTTACACAAATTCACACAAGCTTGCCTTGATTCATTCAAAGAGAGCTCCCAAATTTTAAATGAATATACCGTATGCAACGATCAATTATTTTTAAAGTAAATCGTTAATACATTAAATACCTAAAATTGAAGTTCTTGAATGCGCTTAAACTTATAAATGCAGAAAAAATTAGATTACAATATTTAGGTAGGTAATAATAATAGGTTTAAATGATAGGTATAAATATTAAGTTTCAATTTTATATTTGGAACGCTATTTAAATGTTCTTTGTACGAAACAATCACTTTAAAAACGAAAACATCGACACAATCGCACAAAAACGTCAAGGTCATCAGCATTCAGGAAGGTGTATATTCCGTGTGTGAGTGTGTGGTGATATTGATATACAAGGACGACGCCTTGAGAAACGCCGGTATTGATGGGGTGATAGGTATAGGATTTATTCAGGTGTCGGATGTGGAAGGACCTGTGTGAAAACTGACTTTGTGGTGAGGGGAAAAGGCGATTGGGGATGTAGACGCAGGTTTTCATGAGGATTAAGTGGGATACGGTATCTTCAACTTGGATATGGTCTCTCAGGATTGTCGAGATGTCGGTTTTGTTTTGGAGAGGTGTGGCTAAGTGAAGGTCTCGGAACGGTTCTCCCAGAAACTGATCTAAGTGGGGGGACAGGAGTGAATCTTAATAATTTTTTTTAATTTACCGACGTTGAGAAGGGGGCAGTATGGAGGAGTTGATAGCTTGTAGGCTGTCAGGTTTAGGGTATATCTTCACGCGAGCAGTTTGTCAGATGTTGAAGTTAGGATAGTCTTAGCAGTTTACAATAAGGACGAGGAGGTCAATTGCATTTTTGGTGTTTAAGTTTAATAGAGATAACTCTATAGGGGGCCTGGTGCTTTCATCCAGTCTTTTATCGTCAGTGGTTGTCAAAATTCGTCATTCGTCCTTCACGTCTATTGTCGAAGAGATAGGAATGGGTTCTTGGGTAATTTAGGATACGTTTCGAGGAGTGTAATGTCGTGGGGAAGAAAGCTTAAGGCCAGGGATTGAGCCAAGGTGTCGTTCATTGTTTGCGGGTCGTACGTAAGGGTGTTTGGGTTAGTGAGGAGGGGATGTTTAGGAAGGTTTCCTACGAACTTTTAATTATTTTGTGAAAGATAGGATTGCTTCTGTCATTAATTAGGTCGACGTATTTGTGTCTCGTTTGTCGCAGTTATGCTTGTAGTTGACTTTGTCTTTTTGTGTAACTTTTCGATCTCGTCTGTATTTATAGAAGCTTGTAGAAACTTTGAAAGTGCCGTTTTTTTCTGAGCATTGTAGGTATATTACACATACAAGATTAGGATGGATTTCCTTGTGCGGTATGTGTGGTGTCCGATGGATTGATCTATTTCTTCGTAAGTTGGGATTTAGTGCCAGTGTTCTGTTTGGATGTGATATATTTGAAGGATTAGTAGTTGGTGTTTAGGATTGTTGGAGTTTTGATACGGGGAAGTTAATAGTGTAGGGAGATGGCCAGTAATGTCGTACAGGTCATCTTTTGGGTATAAAATGGTTATGTGAAGTTAGCTGGTGAAGAGTACTATGTCGAGAATATCGTAGGGTGTGTCATTCGGGGTGAGCTTTTTAGTTCGATATATGGGTTTAGGTCTAGAAAATCTCAAAATATCACTGCAATCATGTTGCTTCATACGCAGCCCCAAGATGATAGTTATCTGTTCAGAACACCTACTAATGTGAAGAGATAAGGGGGATTGAGATAGATGTTCAGATATATTTTGGGAAAAGGTAGTTTGGTAGCAGAGTATTATTACAGAGATTGTTATGGCAGTGTTTTCGAGTTTAGGGAGAAAGGTGGTATAAAGCGTGAGGTAATTGTTCTACGGACGAGGATGATTGTGTATCCCTGTAGTCTAAAGTTATGTCGGTGCGATGCGAGATGTAATCGGAATTTACTAAAATCCCGATTGAGTAAAATAATTAAAGACGTTGTCATTGCCAACAATATTATTTAATGCAATAGCAGCTTTCGATGGCTTAGGCCATCATCTCAGTTGTCTGCTAGATGAGCCACAAAACGAACTACTGTAGTCTTACGTTGTAGTCGTTTTGTGGCTTCCAATCTAAGCAGGACAACTGATTGATGATGATGATGGCTAAGCCATCGAAAGCTGCTATTGAATTAAAAAATATTGTTTGGCAATGACAACATCTTTAATTGTTTTAAAAATGCCAAAGATATCTTACCACAACACCTATACCCGATTGAGTAGTCTTTCAGGAATTGGATGAAGAGTTGTTGTTTTTTCTCGTGAAGTTGCCTTGTACATCTCACGAGCGAACGGGGCGGAAACGGGATGAGTGAGCCATTTTAATTGAGAATTTCTATGACTTTTATTGCAAAGTTTAGGCGTTTTGTGATGGAGTCTTCAGGATCTTTCAGGATGTTGAGCATTGTTGGGTTTTCTTCGAGAATATTTTATGCTCGAATGATTGTAGAGTGTGAAGACGTCTTTAAGGTCGTGGTAGGTGAATGTTGAAGACTGCGATGATTGAAGTTGCTGGGATTGATTCGGGTGGTAGATGCTTAAGAAACTGTTTTATGATTTTAGAATTGGGAAGTTTGGGGTTTGATTGATTAATTTTTTTAGTGATTCCGGTCACATCAAGTATCAAGGTCATTATTCCCGTGAATGTAGTGCGTGGTTTTGCTCGGGAAGTGGCGGTGATCTTTCCCTCGCTGTATGGCGAGATCCGGCGCCGACCTACCGTTATCTAGTGGAGTTTTCCCCAACCAGACATCTCCCATCAGCTTACCTCCCGCCCCAGCCGAGAGAAGCTCCTAAACTAAGCTTCTAAACTCCCGACCGGTCTCCCGGCATACGTGCTTGTGTAGTGCGTTTAAGAGTGTGTGTGTGTGTGTGTATGTGTGTGTGTGAGGGGAGACAATAGGACAAGGAAGAGTTAGGAAAGAAAGGTAGGTAAAGTCGAATGTTCTCGTGGCTCAGTGGCGAAGTAGGTTCCGGGTTCTATTCCCATAGAATCCCCGTAGAACCTCATGTGAAATTTGTTACGAAAAAATGAGTTTGCATGCTTCACAGGGGCTAGTGTGTAATATGAACCCCAATCCTCATGCCCTCCCAATTCTAGCCGCTGAGCAGTGACGCAGCGGCGCGTAGTAGGAGGCGCGTGCGCGGAGATGCTACTTGGCTGTCCTCTTGCCAGCTGACTGCGACGAGACGTGACGGATATGACATTGAAATATTAATGAAGTATTACTCCGAACGCGCAAAGCGCTCAACGCCCCCGAGGCTTGAAGACGCGTTACGTTAATTGAAGATACAACACATTTTTAAAAAATAGAAAAAGAGATCACGCGCAGTCCGGTTAGAAGGGTACTGCTCTGGCATTCGCCTGGTATTGATTGGAGAAACCACGGAAAACTATCGATGAGAGTAGCCGGCCGCTAGGATTCTCTTCCATCTAGCTACTGAATTCGACCTAGCTGACAAGCCAGTATTGAAAATCGTGGCACCGTCGGGTCACGAATCTAGGACCTCCCGGTAAGAGGGACTGCAGTGACATCAGTTGATACCCTGAGCCATCTCTCCCGGAGGGAACGTCATTGTTGAAGCTGGGATAGGTATTGGTCTTCTGAAATTCCTTCTTTATGGGGAATTTGGTTTGGATGAAGTAGGGGATGTGATGGAGTGATGTTAGGTCTGTATCAAGGTTGGTGAGGGAGGGCCATTTTTCTGCAAAGTGGTGTGCATGGAAAGCACAAACTGAGAGTTGTCTCAAATTGGTTTTAGTGCGGTACAGCCGTTTACACTTTTTGCATTTCGGAATCCTGTCAGTGACCTTGTAGTTGTCTAACTCGCAATATTTTTTGTAGCATACTTTGTCCTTGGCCTCGTTTATGTCCTTTTTATTGGTCTTAACTATGTAGATCCCCAATGTATCTGTGTCGTGGAAGTGTGGTATTCTTTTTTACGTCCGGTTGCCCTTAATAGTGTTCAAGGCAAATTTGAGAAAAGTAATTTTATCATTATCTTGTTACATATTTCTAGGGTTGCTCTATTGTTTTGTTGGGCAATGTTTGCAAAAAACGGTTCTCTGGGTGGAGTGTTAAGTCTGATAATCTCTTAGTCCGTCTTGAATTATAACGCGGGTATTCACAGACAGGAATTGGATGCAAATTCTCTTTGCGTTCATTTAGCAGTCATTTTATTAACCGAGTTTCATGGGATCCGTCGTTAGTTAGCAAATTGAGAATGGAACTCAGGTCAATCCTAAATAGTCAGATGCGCCCCCTTGTTGTGTCTGGATCTGTGACAGCGGTTGAGTGTGGTTTGAATCTGTCTGAGGAGTTTGAGTAGGAGTAGATTGAGTATCCGGGGTAATGTGGTGGGTAAATTTTGTGGTTCCTATTGGTAGAGTGGGTGATATTTTTTGTTCAATGTTCAGTAAGAGGTAGTCGGACGTGTTCTTTTGGAAAATCTTGAGGTAGACAAATCAGTCGGCCAACGTATGTTTTTAGTTGAGAAAATGGATGGGGAGAGTGAGTTTGCCATCCAGGGATGGTTCGAAATACCACACCCACCGTTTCGCTAAATGGCACTGGTGGATGACGTTTCTTTGTGTTGCGGTCATCTTCGTCTTTGTAACTACCACAGACTGCCGCTGCGTTCTTTTTTAAAATTAGTGATCAGGAAAAGTTAATTCGGCTCGTTGATGGCTTCCAACCGCTCTTCTCACGCTGAGAAGTCAGTGACCGGGACCAGGGACTAGATGGTAGTAATCCGTTTTTGAATATATTTTGTAAGTTTATAAACACCTCTAAGATATTACTTTGTGCCTGTAAATATACAAAATAAAAATAACAGTTTTTAATAAACTCTTTTCTTCACTTTATCGAAGAACACTGCATCCGAAGTTCCAACGGGCAAGGCTAATAGATACTGTCCACAAATATTAAATTATTGTTCGACTCGAACCTATTGATTCTCCCCTTCGTTTGCGATGTTGGTATGCAGTGGTAATTAAATTAACCTGTGTATCAGAATGGTAAAAATACGGTTATGTTGTTTTAAACCTAATTGTAAAAATACAGTAACTTAATACCTTGCAGCTCAAGGACTATTGGGGAGAAATTTCTTCCGGCAATTCAAAAACCAAAATATGAGCTAAATAGTTTACATTTTACTTTAAATAATATAAATCAACTCCCGACTCAACAATGTACATTTCAAACGTAAAACCAAAAAACATAAATTAAGAAACAAAAAGTGATAAAACCAAACATACCTTACCGCCCAAAGCCTGGAAAGGCATGACCTCGCCAATACATATCGCAAACGAAAATGAGGGTGCAAAATTGTGACCAATCGCAGCCTCTCCAATGGGCATGCGCAGCCTTAAACGAAAGGGGTGGACTTACAATTCATTGACCTGGTGGAGGTAATATCTATCTGGATATCTGGAGTGATGCTCTATTCAATAGCTCGAACACACTGGCACTCCGCCCTAGTAGATGCTCGACGTGTTTGGTTGTGTGTTGGGTGTTTTGGGGCGCGTCAACTGCTTAAAACATTAGTCCCGTAAATGTAATGCATGTTTAGATGACAGACTAATGCGAAATTTACGAGTGCTTGAGTTTTGAAAAGAATATACACAAATAGATTTTAAAATCTAATACTGAGGAATAACACTCATTAAAAAAGATATTTCTAGCTTCGTATTTAATGTATAGGACATTCTAAAAAATGCTATTTTGCAATTTTCTAAGTACTATAGGTTATAATAAAAAATACCTTATGTTTAGTCGCTAGTGTTGTTGATGGACTGACGGAAGGAGACGCGTTTTGGAAAAACGCTTTTTCGAAATCAAGGACGTATAAAATATATTTTTTCTGTCGGACTTTTGGCACATTTTCTGCAACAATGCAATACTTTTTCTAAACTATGTGTATGTGAAAGTACAAATAAACGATTGATAAAATGGTAGTAAAGTAAACGGAAAAATTGATTTTGTTTAGAAATTATGATAATTTTACCATAAATGTTCAAGTGTGAATTTTACTTAATTCTAAAATTTCTTCAGGAAACATTTTGCCTCGTTCATTCTAGTCAAAATGAACTTAATGACTTGCCACATTTTATTTTTTCTCACATTCATAAAAAAACTACAGAAACAAAACAGATAATGTGTGGCATTCAACACATTAAACACTAATTTTGCCATAAAATATACTCTCTTAAAGAAAAATCATGACTTATAATTGTAATGTACTATGCAAGAATAATTATTATTCACTTTTCAACCAACTATTCAATTTTTTGTTCCATATTTTTTATAGAAATTAATAAATTATTCAAATAATACTGGACAAGACATGGTATGGCTACTTTACTGATATTTTAAATGGAAAATATTACTTATTGCAATGATTAAGACGAAAATATGAAACTTATAAAAGTGAATGTTAAGGTGTTTGAGGAAACATTTATTTTTTCTGTACATACAGTTACTTTACACAAATCTGGCAATTTGTGTTTATGTTTCTGATTTTATTTGACAGACCGGCGGCGAATTCGAGTGGACGGAGTCTCAGCAGGGCCTTGTGCTCAGCTCCTTCTTCTGGGGATACGTCATCACTCATCTGCCTGGAGGCATGCTGGCTGAAAGGTTTGGCGGAAAATACTCCCTTGGACTGGGCATTCTCAGTACAGCCGTATTCACTCTGCTAACGCCCGTTGTGGCGAACACTGGCAACTGGAAATATCTCATGATTCTACGCATTCTGGAAGGCCTTGGCGAGGTACTTATTTTTTTTTCTCTATCAGTTCGTTTTAAATTGCTAATAATATTTTCCCATGGTAATGTGACAAGTTCAAGTATTGCAGTCTGCGGCGAATATTCGGAGAAATCTAGGTATTCGGGATGGCCAAGATGTTTTGAATAGAAAGAAGACGCAGCCTCGAACATTTAGATGAATTTCCAATTTTACGTGGGAGAACCGCAGAGATATCCATACTTAAAACTCGCACGGGGGCTTCTTCGGGCTTAGATCTCTAGACGCACAAGCGGGCTGAATGCCTGTCAACACCAGAGACGGGTTCGAGCACCGGGGGAGGTCCCTTGGCGCATGCGCTGTCTGTCCATTCGGGAAATACGGCGTCAGGGTCCGTATCTCAGGCAGAGGCTTATCTAGGTATTGAGGCACCCGAAGCAAGCACAGAATTTGCGCCTCTGTGAGGATACCTCAAATGTGGGTTATTATTATTTGTTTTGGCGGATATAATCTAAACAATGCCACTTGTAAGTGACGCCCATGGCATGTGCCATGTCAGCCCCACCCAAAATTCGCTTCTGATCGCAGGTCGGATATGGTCTGCAACAGAGCAGCTCAAATGCAAGACTTCAGGCCAGATTGCCATCAGTAGCCCGCTGCAGTGTTCCGTGTGCCAATCACCTTTCACTAAACTACAGCCTACTAGCCCGAGCGCCTCCTCCTGCCAATACATTTACGTATAAAAATGGCCACAATATATTATTAACAATGGCGCACCCAATGGAGGGGAGGGTTCAAATGGCTTTAGCGCCTCCCACAGCCAATGGTACATATTAAACAAATATAGATTTTACTAATTTTATGTACTAACGAAAACCATTCAGTATGTCAATTTTTTACGTTATGAATATTAACTATGAGACAAATTAAATACATTTTATACTATATCTGTACCGCCCCCCTGGTGCGCCTCTAAATATTAAAGAAGCTTAACAAAAAGTTTTTAACTGGTATAGAGTAGAAAACTTGAATTCGGAGTTTAACTTGTGTACCACAACTTCCAAAAACCAATCTAAAAGTTGGGTTCTTTTTTCTAATCATCCTTCACATGAAGGATCGATTCACTACTGCGAGTGTACAACCTTTTACAGTATTGGAGAGGCTCTTTTAAAAACGTCATGTATCAGTTCTCAAAATTGTCAGCTTAAAAAAAGGGAAAATCAAGAATCTTCTTTACGAAATAAAATGATGTATTACGTAAGACTAAGGGTCCCCTTTCGAAATGTTCAACTCCCCCGTTTTTCTTGCGTTTTCTTGTCTACACCCAGACAAGAAAAGGAAAAACAAAAAAGCATTGTAAAAATATCATAATGTTGTTATAAAACCGTAGAAGAGTCCGGTGCAGCTTACAGAAGTCGTTAAACCGGCAATTCGCGTCGATCACACAAAAAGGGAACCCATGGTGCAGGAGAAGAGGGGAATTTGTAAAAGGCGAAGTTATACAATTTACTGCTTGAGAAGGGGAAATGTTGGTGGTCAGGGGGCCCCTGGCGCAGAGGCAGTGTTGTATTCGCGGGATCAGCAGTGCCCTGTATGAGTTAATTGAGTGTATCGATATAGACATGTACACCAGTGTGTAGTGAAATGTGACGATACGGTAAGATGGATGTTAACGGTTGGATTTGGCGGAACTGATTTGTCGTAATAGAAATTCAGCATAAAACGCGAGGGATATTGCGTGAGTGAAGCGAGTGAAATAATAGGTTGTATTCCATATGTGTAGTTTATTGACTAGTTTATTGGATTTCGGAAGATCCAATAAATAAGCCAATAAGTCTCATATTTTACGCCATATTATATCTCAGAAGATCCATTCGCAGAATAGATTAGTTTTACGTAATTTTACGGCTAGTAGTACGTGTGACGCCCACTTTCACTCCCCATCTATACCCCTTTCTTCCCCCAGGTGCGGATCCACGGTGAGGGAAATGCGGGACCCCTCCCCCCTCTAAAATGTTTCTGTAATTATTAATTTTAACTTGTCACGATTGGACTGTACTAGGATTTATTTAAACATGCATTTGAAATAAATCAGCTGTTCACGTTTCATCCAATCTGAAGCTTGAATGCCCCTGCAGCAACATATAATCTCCCGATTTGATGAAATAGCAATAGCTGATGTGTTTCGTGTGCACGACTATATAAATCGTACTATAGGGACAGAAAGGATTTCGCCCTTGCTTCCCCCTTCATATAGTCTCTTGCAATCACTCTTCTCTGGGTTGCTCAGTACTCCACTCTAACCGTGCATGTGTCTTAACTTAAAACTGTATCACCATTCTCAGACAATATTTTGGATGTTTTCCTGGAAAACTTTCTCAAAATGCTTTATCATCAAAGAAAATTTATTTCCCTATTTGTATTTTTTTGTAATTGAAGTTTAGTCCCAAGGTTTCCACTCCACTCTTCGGATCTTTGCCAAGTTTTTTTTTTCTTCTTTTGTTCAAACATAATTGCATTTAATTCAGTATTGTCACCATCATTTCCACCATTGCTTGACAGCTGTTGACACTTCTCTGCAAATATATCGCAACACATCTTCAATCACTATCTGCCCCATTAGTTTCTCCCGTTAATCTAATGCCTATTTATTTTTAGCTACGGTCCTGAGTAAGAAACTTATTGATGAGAAAGCCTAACTTTTGGTACCAATTAGATACCAATAATTTCTTTATAATTAATTACATCCATTGATTTAGAATATAATTGATTTTCATATATACATTGTTATCGCACAAGTTTAATTTGGTAATATCTAATAAAACTAATATATATTCGTAAATGTTCCTTCTAGGGTACAACTTTTCCTGCTCTAAATGCTCTTCTGGCAGCGTGGGTACCCAAAACCGAGAGATCACGATTAGGTTCACTTGTATTTGCTGGTAAGTTATTTAATAAAAACACAATAATTATTTTGTATGTATATTTGCTCTGATTAATTGATCTTGTATACCAGTCTTTCATGATTGTAAATTATTGAAAGATTAAATAACCTGACTTTAAAAATTTAAATTCCATTAGAACTGTGCATTATTACTGTGGTCCTATTAATCTACATTCAAAATCATCATTGACTAAATTGGTTTCTCTTTGGTACTCCAGTAAAAATGTGCTCAGAGACATCTCCATGAAACATAAATAGGACCTTGAACTGACATTCAAGCCCCAGAAATGGTTTGCACCTACATTCCTACCTACCTACCTAAATGCAAACATAGTTACATACATAGTTACATTGATTTATAAAATATTAGGTTCCAAAATGCTCCCCAAATTAATTAATAATTAATAGAAATAGTTAAATATATATAATGTAATTGATCCATCGCATTCAGTCAGAAATCTAGCTCTGGTTACATACAAACATAATGCCAGTTTTATCACAGTTGCACAGCTTGAAGAACAAAACTTAATAAACAGGATAAGAAAAAATGTTTTAAAAAATCATGAGCAAGTAGTATAACACCCGTTTTTTAAAAACCTTCAGAAATGTTCGAATCAGTTATAAAATTTAAATTCAATGAGTGAAGTAGGTATGTATGTTATCAAAAAGTAAAATGAAAAATTTATTTTTGTCCAGGTGCTCAAATTGGAACAGTAGCAGGTACTCTCCTTAGTGGTATTATCCTGGAATATTATTCGTGGCCATGGGTGTTCTACCTCTTTGGTGGAATTGGAGTTTTGTGGTTTATTATTTGGACATTAATATGCTACAGTGACCCAGCATCTCATCCCTATATTACTGAAGAGGAAAGGAAATACCTAGAAGAAACAGTGGGTGATGTTAAGAAAAAGGTAACAAAACATGTTATTAAACAATGAATGAACATCAATAAGAAGGGCAAAATAGAAGTTCCTTCAAGTGTCCTTTGGAAGACACCTGCCATATTTCTTCTTTATTAAACATCTACAAACAGATGGCACCTATTCCTTGGTTACTCAGTCTTACAGCAAAATACCTTATCAATAATAGGGCTGAAATGTTCCTACTATTTGAAAATACTTTTGGTTATTCTTTAACAAAAACACAAGTGTAAAGTAAATGAACGGTGTATGAAGGAATGAAGGTTTTCACAGATGACGACAATGTAATTGTTGTTTTCTGGGGCAAGGTCTAATAGAAATTATTTTTTCAAATGTTTCATCCCTCTCTGTGGTGGACCTCTTTAGTAGCAGCATAGTCAGTGTGGACTCAATGAAGCGAGCAGGTTTTTGGATATACATTTGCCATTAGACTGTTATCTTGAAAAACAATAATTATAAATAACTTCAGTTATTAATTAAATTAAATTGTAAGTTGTAGTTATTATTGTGAATGGAAAATATTTTTGAGGTACATTAATGCTACATTCATTTTTAGAGTTCACATTTCATCACAAGTTATCAGTAAATAACCAAAAATGTTCAAATAATGTTCTAAACGGTCATAAAGTTGTCCATAAATTTACAAATGAAATAATCTAGTAGCAATTAGTTTAACGATATTATAACTTTCATTTTCCTACTTCCTTCTACGGAGAAAACCTGGTACTGTCTGTTATTATGGTATCTAACTACTTGTGAAAGAAATCAGGTCTTTTTAAAATTTAAACATGGCAGAAAGGAGTATTCCTCAATAAAATAAAAAAGTTAAATTATTGAAAAATAATCAAACTTATGACAGGCAAAGTTGACTACGAATCAAAGATCAATAATTAATCAAATGTGTTTCTTTTGAGTCTGGTAAATACATGACTATTTGCTACATTACTTAATATAAAACTTTAATTGAACATGTTAATTTTGTTATCTTTTCCTAGGATCTTCCACCTGTTCCTTGGAGAGCCATATTTACTTCTGTTCCTTTGTTGGGTTTGATTTGTGCCCAAATTGGTCACGATTGGGGCTTCTTCACAATGGTTACAGACTTGCCAAAGTACATGAGTGATGTTATGAAATTTAAAATTTCACAGGTATGTTTTAAAGCTTCTTTAATCTTCTTAAAAACTTTAATTGAAATTCATGTATATTTTGAAGTACTTCTAAGAATATAAATTTTAATTAAAAGAGAATGTTAAAATTGTATTCCAGGAAGCAAAATTCATGTCACAATAATTTTGTTTCACTTTGTAAATAAATGTTCAATTGAAGTCTACAAAATGCTCTTGAAATTTACTCCTAAATATATGTTCTTCCGCAAATTCAATATTTGAAGATCATCTTTTTTTGTTTGCTTCATGTTAGAGTAAATGTTTCTGCCCATTGATTAAACATTTTGCTTGTATTAAAGATAATTAATATTACAGAGAACTTTAACCCTATGTAAACAAGTGAGATTCAATTAAATTAAACAGCATTTGATTTGCTAAAAATACTAATTTTCTTTGGCTACTAAAATTGTTTCCTTGAGTGATGTCAGTGACATACTGTGCCAGACAAATTTATCTATCCCTTGTCTTGTTTCTGGCTGCTAAAGCTGTACTATGGTTATCAGATCATACATGCTAATTAATATTTTCATAGTTCATGGAATTTTGAGTTACATAAGATCTATAAAAGATAGAGTGAAAAAGAAGTTAATACATTATTTTGACATCATGTAGAGAATTTGTTTACCTATGCAAAAGTATAACATGAACTCACTTCTTAAAAAAAGTTTATTTTTTTCAAACTTGAAAATAGTAAAACTTTTAAAACAAATGTATAATTTACTACCTTTAATTTAAGAAACATTATTTCTGTGTCCTAAAAGGTGCACTTAAAAGATCAAGACATACATTTTAAAAAATCATTGGAAAACTTATTCAACATTTTTCCTAATAATGTGAAATATACCAAGGGGAAAAAGGAGAAAAGAAACAATCAATTTTTAATATTTTTATCATAGTACATCAATAATAATTAGTTACATTGAAAATCTAAAAAAAATTATTCAAATTTTGTTTACAGAAAATTCTGCTGAAGGATGTGAATCCTCTATTGGGGCCTTCTCATAGCCTTTTGTCATTGAACTAAGTTTTTAAATTTCATGTTGGTTTATTTTACTGTTGGAGTCGGAAGTACATCCCCCCCGTCAGTTTATTTGATCATTTTTCCCTTTGTCAAGTTATTTGTGAACAAGAAACTTGATTTGCACTTTGGGATGATTGATGATGCTTCTTCCGTTATGTTTTATTTTAGAATGGCTTATGGTCATCTCTTCCATACTTGACGATGTGGCTCATGTCTACAGCAAGTAGTTGGGTAGGAGATTGGATGATCAAAAGAAATGTAATGAGCATAACTAATGTAAGGAAAATGTTCACTACAATTGGTAAGTATCGAAAGTTAAATGATGTATATTACTAATGAAATAAATTTTGAAGATTAATATTTTCAAATTATTTGGACTAATAGCAAGTATATAATTAATTTCCTCTACCATTTGATTTCATGTGTTTAACATTTTTCAGCTTCTGTTGGGCCTGCATGTGGAATTATTGCTGCATCATATGCAGGCTGTAACAAAACAAATGTAGTGATATTGTTTACTGTTGCAATGACTTTCATGGGTACTTTTTACCCAGGAATGAAAGTCAATGCGTTGGATCTAAGTCCTAATTATGCAGGAACTCTAATGGCCATTGTAAATGGTATTGGTGCATTTTCTGGCATTATAACACCGTACCTAGTTGGTGTTCTCACTCCCAATGTAAGTATTTGAAATTTATAATTTTCTACATGAAATAAATTTAAACTGGGTTATTTGTGTAAATATAATGTTAAATTTTATATTATTGTTATTAAATAGATTAAAATATTACATTTTTTCTTCTGGATTTTCTTGAATCAGTGGATGTTTGCATATTCCTGCCTATCATAGACAATATTTGAGAATTTAAAACTCTTTCCCTTAGCTAAAGTAACAGAAAATGTTTACCAAAATATTTTTATTTTTTATTTTTCAGAGTACTCTTCAAGAGTGGCGCTTGGTTTTCTGGATAGCCTTTGGAGTGTTCATGGGAACTAACTTAGTTTATGTGTTTACGGCGTCTGGTGAAGTTCAGCCATGGAATGACCCTCTGTCTATGAGACAAAAGGAAATGGATGATGGACTTGTTGAATATCAGGTATGATTAACTCACACAAAAGATTTAACTTATTAAAATAGATTGTGAAACCTGTTGGAATAATAGGCAGTTCACACACATAGAAAGTAAAAAGCATATGACTTGATTATAGTTGTGAGATGTAACTTGATGCACAAAACACTTTAAGCATATGATAGATCACACATACATTGCAACTATTACATACACAGTGAGCACTCCCCAGGAAAATGTAGCCATAGGACTCAAATGTCTGGCATGTCGAGTGGCACATATCAAACCGGATTGTATCACCCTGTCAATAACTCCAACACTTCCCGTAGAGACCATCTCTCTAGCTTTGGTTTGGTTAAGTTTTTAGTGAAAGTGACCGCTAGCATGGCAACTGATGCCAAGTGTTCCAATTTGAGTCATGCTTACTCCACAACTTCCTGAACAAAGGGATAGCAAACATCTTTTTTTGTTTTGTTCAAGAGTGCTAGACTGGGTTCATCGCCAGTCTCGCACAGAAATTATTGTTGTACAATGCCAGTGCCTTGAGCTCAGCCTCTTGGCCAGGAAACTGCGAAGGTGGGTGGCCTCCTTGGCAGCCTCGCTCAAGAGTCTTGTACTTAGCTTGTACAGTGGAAACTGTAACCATCTGTTGCTTTTTTTGAGTTCTGTGTTTCTGGTCCATCACCTACGGTGAACATGCATCCTGTGATTGACTGCCTGTTGTCCATTGACCCAGTGAAGTCATCATCCACGTTTTCAAAGATGGAAGAATTACCTTCTTCAAACCTGATTCCCACATCCACTGAGCCGTTTAGGTATAGGATTACTCTCTTTTCTGCCTGCCAATGGTACTTCCAAATGAGTGTTTGTTCTCGGCAAGCAGACTCACAGCATGGGCAATGTCCAGGCGTGTTACCACCAACAGATACAGGAAACACCCCACAAGTACATGGTAGCATGGGTTCAAGTAAATTTGAATCGATGTAAGATGTTCTCAACACACGTCTTCTAATTCATGGAGATAAATTCTTCATTCACTCTAAATTCTATCCTCCAAACAATGTTTCAGACTATTTAGATATTTTACCTCATACAGTCTTTCCAGATGACTTCCAAAAACATCTATCATCTAAGATTTTTTACATAATATGCAAATGTCATTGACATAAATTATGATGAACATTATGTTGTTACCTACATTCTTACCTGTATGTGTATCCTATGGTAGGAACAGTTCCTTC